AGGCACATGCCACTCAACATTAGGGACAGAACAATTTGATGCACCAGCAGTACGGACGCTTTGCTTATAATTATCTCATAATGGAAGCATTTAATACTGGACCACAGGCAAATATCAGCCGCTTTTTTGTGCGTCTGCCAGCATTGCCCATAGACTAGATTGTCGATGAACGTCTTTTGACGTCAACATGATATTTTCTTTTACTTTATCTTTTTGTTCAGTGTTGAGTCCACCGTGAATCAGGCAAATGGAAGCTATAGATGGCACCGTCTGTAACATCATTTTATTTAGGTTTTCTCTGAACTCTTGTTAATTACTGCAAAAAAATACATAACAATGTCAAACAAACGTTGGATCTTGGACTAAGTTTGTGACTGGCATTTGCACTGGAACAACCATCATTCACTGCTTTTGAGACGTTTTAAGTCTAGCACTCTAATTGGGACCACAGAAAGCTCTGGAGTGAGTGTGTGTCTACAATTGTAATGCTCCTCAGTGTACATATTCTTTGTCTGGCAAACAAAATGAAAAAAAGTGCAGCAAAATGCACGTTTTACTTAAGTTTGCAATGCAAAAGAGAAAGAGTTCAGCTGAAAGTAAACGGAGAATGTCGCAGCAGCATTCGGCTCGGTGTAATGTTTACGGTATGCTGTACTGAAACCAAAAACACATTCAGTTTTTAGTTTTTGCATTGACAAGCTAAATAATTTATTGATCTAATTTGATTTTATATTTTCTGTTTACAAATAAATTACAGTTGCTTTTGCGGCTAAATTGGAATTGAGCCCCCACCAGCACTACCACTATCGGTGTCGCGTCTACGCCAGTTGGCGCACAGGGGTTCACTTTGCAATTGGTGTTTGTGTCATTTTAGTTTAACTCACTTCCACTGCTTTCTTTGCTGTCCGGGTCGAGACATTGGTATTCACTGCCATCCTGTCATATTTATTGCCCTCCCTTGAGTTTTGAAATGTTTTTTCTTTTTCCTCTTCTTCTGTCGCCTTTTCCTATTGAGCCGTTCATTTCAAAGCATCAGTCCAGTTGGCTAGAATTTTGATTTATACAGCAGTGGATACTATTTGGGCCAGCTGACAGTTTTGACAAAATTTACAAATAAATCTTTTCCGTCTATTATCCATCTTAGCTAGCTGGTGAAGTCACTTGACTCTAACTTGGTCAGCCTTTAGGAGTACGCCTGTCTGCATCACACTACCAAACACGTAATGGGAATCTAAACAGTGAGCTGCATCAGCAGCTTCAGCCACAGTTCATCCCAATGGACACTTAATACTTCTCTCGCTCTTTCTCTCTCATTTGAGCGTCTCATTTTGAATGAACACTGTTCAACTCAGCTCTCACTTTGATTTAATTATCTTTAGACACACGCTTAAAATTATGTCTATAATCTAATTAAAATTCTGGCCAATATATAAATGGCCACAATTACTCTTCGGTCTTTCGGGACAAGCATTGTGCTGCCTCTTTGACTGTTTAAAGCTGAAGCTTAAAGAAAGAGAGTGAAAAGAGAGGTTGTTTCAGTATAAATGCCTACTAACGATGGTCAGTAAGTAGAAATTTATTTGCCCAGCAAAAAAGTGGTTGTAGAAGTAGTAGTAGCTGTTGGCAAATAAATGAAAATTAATGGGCAAATTAAGTGTACAGCAATCGATGTAGGACGCAGTGGTTGTAGTGCTGCAGTTTACTACGTTTCTTGCATGCGTTCTTTCTTCGTCAGCAGAGAACTCTGAACAGTGCTAACGGTGCGGCGGCATATCGCTTTATTGCAGGCAGTGGCCAGCAAGTTGCACGGACAGGACGTGGAGGTGAACATCATCAAGCACAAGGGCGATGACTGTGACCACGTTCAATTTGAAATCAATGAGCGCGTCAAGAGCATCGCAGTGTCAGAGCCGGAAAAGGACCAGATTAACTTTGACCAGTTGATGTCCTTTGAGAACAAGATCAGCCCATTTACCTTCTGTAAGGCATTTCCATTCCATATGGTTTTTGACAAGAACATGATNTTTGAAATCAATGAGCGCGTCAAGAGCATCGCAGTGTCAGAGCCGGAAAAGGACCAGATTAACTTTGACCAGTTGATGTCCTTTGAGAACAAGATCAGCCCATTTACCTTCTGTAAGGCATTTCCATTCCATATGGTTTTTGACAAGAACATGATTCTCAGACAGGTCGGTCGACAGTTGAGATGCTTATGTGGTTTATATATTATATAATATTTTTTTTTTGTGATTGAACTCACACATTAGGCTGGCATTTCAATTGCCCGAGTACTTCCTGCCTTCACAGAGAGTGACTGCCGCATAACGGATGCTATGGAAATGATTCGACCACATATGGATTTCACTTTCAACAACGTTCTCGCTCACATTAACACTGTGTTTGTGTTACGAAGCAAATTTGGCAGTTTCAACGAGAATGGGAAGGAGTTCACGCGGTGAGTAGCGAGTACATTGATGTACAGCAAGTGTTTGCCAAGCAGAGCAAAACGGGCTACCAGTAGAATGAATGTTCTCATAATTGCACTGCAAACTCCCTTGGCACCACTGGTCCCTTTAATTCGCCTGCTAATCTCGATCCTTTTTCGCTTATCATTTTTCTCCACATGTTCACACACTCACAGAATGCGTCTCAAAGGTCAAATGATTTATGTGCCGGAAACGGATTTGGTACTTTTCCTCTGCTCTCCGAGCGTACTCAACTTGGATGATCTCAACCGCCGGGGACTTTATCTGAGTGACATTCCGCTGCACGACTCGACGCGTGATCTCATCTTGCTCTCTGAACAGTTCGAGGCCGAGTACAAACTGACAAAGAACTTGGAGATTCTTACTGACAAGCTCCAGCAGACGTACCGAGAGCTTGAGGACGAAAAACGCAAAACAGACAGGTAGGTAAAAGGAATAAAGAGTCCAGAGAATAAAAGAGTACTGATGCACAATGAGGGCTTTTGTCCACTGGCTTACTGGTTCACTGGCTGGCCTGCAAAGCCACTGCCACTGCAAAAGCAACATCGTAATTGAGGTCCATTTGTGCGACTCGCTTCGATGATCATGGCCCACAGTGACTGAGATGCATTATCCCGGGCACTCTTTCACTTCTTTTGATCCATCTTTTTTGTTTTCATTCACCAGACTGCTGTACTCGGTGTTGCCGCCCTCTGTGGCAAATGAGCTTCGCCACCAGCGTCCAGTGCCCGCCAAGAAGTACGAATGTGTGACANTTGATCCATCTTTTTTGTTTCTATTCACCAGACTGCTGTACTCGGTGTTGCCGCCCTCTGTAGCAAATGAGCTTCGCCACCAGCGTCCAGTGCCCGCCAAGAAGTACGAATGTGTGACGCTGCTCTTCAGTGGCGTCGTCGGCTTCAACGACTACTGCGCCAAGAATTCCGACTCAACTGGAGCAATGAAGATTGTCAAGTTGCTCAACAATCTTTACACCACATTTGACGTACTCACTGATCCGGTGAAGAACCCCAACGTCTACAAGGTATGCCATTAGCCGGCAGAAAGACATTAACATTAACGCATCAATAGCCATCGGCTATCGGTCAATCTGACATTTTTTATTATTCCAAAATGTACAATCTTGATTTGTTTTTGTTTTCTTTCCTTTTAAAAGGTGGAAACGGTGGGCGATAAGTACATGGCGGTCTCTGGTCTGCCGGAACCGTGCGAGTCTCATGCTCGTTGCATTGCTCGATTAGCACTGGACATTATGGACCTATCACGGAGAATAAAAACTGAAGATCTGGAAGGAATCGTGAGTGTAGACTGAAAATGATATTGATTTAAGCATGTGTGCCTTCTTGACTAACTTAAATAAAAAATTTTTTTCTTTTTTCAATTGTTTCGGCAGAAACTGACCATTGGCATTCACTCTGGTGAAGTGGTCACTGGTGTGATTGGAAAACGTATGCCACGCTACTGCCTTTTTGGCAACACGGTCAACCTGACCAGCCGAACTGAGACCACCGGAGAACCGGGCAAAATCAACGTCACTGAGGCCGCCTACAACTGCCTGATGGAGAACAAGAATCATGATTCAGATTTTAAGTTCACCTACCGAGGTCCTGTGCTGATGAAAGGGCGAGTGGAACCAATGAAAATTTGGTTTCTCACTCGCTTTTCAGCTGAGTTTGCGGATGAGTGAATGAGTCACTGAGTTTAAAAAAGTGTACTCGAGGCATCAAAGAACACTGTTCTGAATAGACTGTCTCAAATTTGTTCTTTACTCCGTCCCTCATCGGTTTTCAGATTACTATAACAGTAGTTTTTTTGTTAGTTGAGCAAATCACATGAGCACAAATCAATACTTTTTTCCTCCTTTNTCTTTACTCCGTCCCTCATCGGTTTTCAGATTACTATAACAGTAGTTTTTTGTTAGTTGAGCAAATCACATGAGCACAAATCAATACTTTTTTCCTCCTTCACTTACACAGCAATGCTTAAGTTTGGATTTATTTACCAAAACTAAAAATATATTAGACACACTTTTCTTTACAAAATAAAAACACATTCAAGTTTTAATTAACTGTTTAATAAAAGTCAAAGCAATCAATCGATTAAAGGGGGCAAAAATAGTTTGGGCCATCTTTCGAATGCCTGTTTGGTAAAGCGGAAAAATTTATCAGCTGAAAGTAAAAGCGAAACCCTGCAAAAGAGGCGTCAATGGCAGAAGGCACTTGGACGATTAAAACGATAGTGTGAAAGTGAGAGTGTGCAAGAGTGATTGCAAAAAAGGGTTCACAGTGTGTGCATGTTGTCATTATGCCATTGTCGGCAGTGTCTTCTCGGCAAATTCTGGTCACGTTTTTCACAGTGAAATAGGCATTTCGTGAGTTTTTGCCTTGAAATTTGCAGTTGTGAAAAAGAAAGAGCACAGAAAAAGCTGCCAATTGACCAGGTCTCCTTTTCCTTCCTCAGATGGCAAAGCAAAGTCACATTTGCCAAGTTGGTCTAATTTGATTAATTATAATTAATTAATTAAATTGATTTTGCTATATACAAAATAGAATTTTTGTTCGAATTTTGTATACTCAGCAGCAACCTCTATTTTTTAGATACGCAATTAGTAAAAAACTTTTCAGAATAAACTGTTAAAACCTGTAAATTGATCGGAAGTAATCAAGAAAAGACTGATTGATTTGCAATTGCTCAAGTTTCAATGCGGTCTTTACAATGACATACGGTTAGTGCTCATTTTTTACTTTTGTTGGTGTCTTCAACACTTTTTTACAGTTTTATCTAAATCTGAGATTGGTATTTGCACATCTGTATTTGAGAATCTCACCACCAACTATATCAACTGTCTGGAAAGAGTGCCCGAGGATGACTGGGGCAATGTAAACAATGAGCCCATTTACTGTTGCACCAAATCTGATCCACAGTACAGTCGTCTAGAATATTGCTGTCATTACGAGGAACTGCTCTCTCAGCACAGGTATCTTTTTGGTAGTATGGTTCTTATTTTTACCTAACTTTTTTTGCAGAATATGGTTGGTAATACTTTNGCTGTCATTACGAGGAACTGCTCTCTCAACACAGGTATCTTTTTGGTAGTATGGTTCTTATTTTTACCTAACTTTTTTTGCAGAATATGGTTGGTAATACTTCTCATACTGACTATAATAACTGGCACCATCTTTGCATTTACTTTATTCCTCAACTTGTACATGATTGTAGTGGCTGGCAGCAAAGCTGACATTCCCAGCATCAGCACAATGGCCTTCTTACCAAAACCAAACTTTTTTCCTAAACTGACTCATACAAAATCTAAGCGCGCCAGCCGCAGTTCAAGCAGGTCACAGTCACGATCCCCATCAAAAAGTAAAAAGTCAAATCCCAAAAAATCAAAAGATGTACATCAGAAAAAATCGACTGCAACGCCAACCACTACTGCACTAAACACTGAAGTGAAGGCACGGGCAGTCAAATCTACTACAAAGAGTAGCACCGTTTGAATGATTTACCAAATAAAGATATTGCTAAGCACACATTTCTCATACTTTCACTTATTTGTTCATCGTTGTCGGCTTATGCTCGCATATAAAAACGCTGACAGGGTAAAACGTGCCTAGTTCGATAGCAAACAATTTGGCCTGGAAAGCCAGTCGATAGCAAACAAATATCAAGTTTTTCTGATCTAAAAGCTGCCCCAATTTGTGCATTTGAGTCAGTGAGTCAGTGAGGCTAAGTGGCAAATGATCTGCCTGCCTCAAAATGACTTGCCCTACGCGAGATAAGTGAAAAGCAAACAATTATGAGAAAACGGGAGATGAAGTAGTGGACGCTGCAAAACAACAGGAGACGGTGGATAGACAAAAAAGCGGCAAAGTGCCGGATGAAGTGGGCTTCGTTTGGCATTTTTGTAATGAAATTACTTTGTTAGATTGGACCTAGTTTTAATGAGTGGCCTCAAGAAACGGGTCAGTTTGCAGTGGAAAGTTGTGGTAGAAAGGGTATCTGTTAGAACAGTTGTATATCGATGGATGACTCGTGATCTTTAATTAAAAATAAATATAGAGAGTTTTTTGTAGGAAAGAAATAGTTGAAAACTAAAAGAAAATATGTGCCATAGAAAACCATTAAATTGATAGTAGCAACTATCAAAAAGATAGTGGTGGTTTGGCGCNTCTGTTAGAACAGTTGTATATCGATGGATGACTCGTGATCTTTAATTAAATATAGAGAGTTTTTTGTAGGAAAGAAATAGTTGAAAACTAAAAAAGAAAATATGTGCCATAGAAAACCATTAAATTGATAGTAGCAACTATCAAAAAGATAGTGGTGGTTTGGCGTAAATGGCCATTAGGTGAAAAGGAAGGAAGATAGAAAGTGCACTGTAAAAGAAGTTTTAATCCCATAACCAAAATGGTAAGACCATAAACAAACGATCGACCCAAAAATAGCAGTAGCGGGTGAGATGATGGAAAGGAATGCAAAGAAGTGCAATCAGCCAGGAAGAGAGCATCGATNACTATCAAAAAGATAGTGGTGGTTTGGCGCAAATGGCTATTAGGTGAAAAGGAAGGAAGATAGAAAGTGCACTGTAAAAGAAGTTTTAATCCCATAACCAAAATGGTAAGACCATAAACAAACGATCGACCCAAAAATAGCAGTAGCGGGTGAGATGATGGAAAGGAATGCAAAGAAGTGCAATCAGCCAGGAAGGAGAGCATCGATTCNGAAAACTAAAAGAAAATATGTGCCATAGAAAACCATTAAATTGATAGTAGCAACTATCAAAAAGATAGTGGTGGTTTGGCGCAAATGGCTATTAGGTGAAAAGGAAGGAAGATAGAAAGTGCACTGTAAAAGAAGTTTTAATCCCATAACCAAAATGGTAAGACCATAAACAAACGATCGACCCAAAAATAGCAGTAGCGGGTGAGATGATGGAAAGGAATGCAAAGAAGTGCAATCAGCCAGGAAGAGAGCATCGATTAATTACGCACGACATAAGATGATTGAGCTGCCCAGTGCACAAACACAGCGAGCGGCATCGAAAACAAACAAACAAATCAAGCAAGAAAAAAGACAAGGCAGCTGAGGGCCGTTTAGGGGGCAAGGTCCACTGGAAAAGAAAAGATTACTGACGACCATTTATTGCACGGCACAAAAAGGAATTATTGAAGTGAATAAGAATGATAATATTCGGTAGTTACGATGATTCGATCAAAAGCGGCAGAGCAAATGACGGCTGCACTGCTTTTTTCTTCTCATTTTTTTAGATTTTCTCGTTTCCTTAACGCCATGTTTTAGCCACCAGTGCCGCGCAAAAATTTAGGCCAATTTGTGGCACACTGAAACTCAATTTTAATTAATAGATTCGGTAGCCAACAGTAAATGACAGAGACAATGGCATTGATGTTGTGCCCATACACAACAGCTGTTTCCGATGAAAAAGCGTAAAGCACAGACTCATTTGCTGAACGAATGACTTTATGAATTTGTGATGCATTTTGACGACTCAACCAAGTGCAACAGCAGCAGTGGTAGTCAGAGATAGAAAAAAAAGAAAAAAGTAATGCACTGCCCAAAGTATGCAGTCAGCAGTGAACAAGTTTCAACTAGAAGATAACACTTTCGCATGATCGACCATTGAAAGCGGCAAATGGTTGAGTGAAACGCAGAGTAAACGCGATACACACCAATAGAAAGCCAAAAGTGGCAAAAGTGCAAAATTAAAGTGAAGAAAAACAGCAGCCGTGGCTTAAATCACATCATGTTGTGTGGTTTTTTATTTCAAAATTAACTTTGAAACTTTTTGCGCAAATTGTCAAGTGGAAATGTTGTCTTTGTACTTATACATTAGAAAACATTTGGCCACATTGCCAGAACTCAATGCAACCAGGCTTCTTTTGCTCTCCCTTTGGACTGCTTGTTACACTACCACCAGACCAAATGTGTGAAACAAACAGCAACAGCAAACACTTTAAGCAGAACACTTGTACTAAAAATAATGCTTCTACACTGTTTTCACTGAAAGCCATTGTCGCCCACAGAGATATATGGTCATTACAACAAAAGCTTTGCCAGTGCCATTTTTATAAATTTATCAAATTTAATAAAGTTCATCAAAAGTTGCATCTAAACTTTAAATTGCACCACACTGCACTGCAAGCCTTAATAGCCTGAACTGACTTGATGTTGCTTATTTTTGCATAATTGCCATCCTTAGCAGTGAGTTTTTAGATCGAGCAATCATTTGGTTAAAACTCGTAAAACTGGTATGCTCTTGCTGCATGTGCTTAAAATGGTCGTCGAACGAGCCAGATTAATCAAGTAGTAAGTAGTAAGTACATGTAAATTGATTTGAGTCAACGCAAGCAAATTTACCAATTACAGAAAAAACGTTAACAAAAGTGCAGCAAAAAACAGCGACACCTCTAAAGAGGTTCTACTGCCAACATCTCTAGCAGCAAGCAATCTTTGCAACTCATTTTTAATTTCAACCCAATTTTGTGCCCATTGTTGTTTCTAGCCCAGCTGGCAAATGAAAAAAAACATAAAAGAGCTCTTAGTAGGAAACTTGGTAAGCTGCTAAATAATTTTTCATCCCAAACTCAAATTGTGACCGAGCCTTTGGTGCTTTACCCAGTTAGCCTTTCATTAGACAACATACATGCACATTCAAGGCATCCAGAAAAG